CTAAAGACTGAAAAGGTTGCTAATTGCCAAAAAGAAATAACATCTGGTGTATTTTTATATAAAAAAGCATACCAGAGGTTCTGGGTCTAACAAAAGTATTATATGAGGAGGGTTTCAGCATGTGAGTTCACATACACTGGAGTAAATAATTATTTGATCCCCTGGTGAATTTGTAAGCTTTCTCACTTACAAAGAAATCAACCATCTGAACATTTTATGGCAGTTTCACTTATTGGAGGGAGACAGACTATAAGCCAAAAATCCAGAAAAAAAACACATTACATAAAAGTAAATGATGCATGTCTATAACCCAGCCAGAAATCTGTCTCTCACCGATTGGCTGCATGTTCATGTGGCACACAAATTACCATCTCATCAAATCAGTTACAGATATGCCAACTTGTTGTGTAAATAAAACATGCCTGTCCACAGAATGATTTTTCTCCATTCCTACCTATTCACTACCATGGGCAAGACCCCACCACTGCCCGCCTATTTTCAGGTCTCAGAGCCCTCTCGCACTATGAAAACTAACCAGAAGGTATTTGGGACAGATTATATATTATATTGGCTAATTAAAATATATTTAAGAAACAAAACAAAACAAGCAGTCCTATAACGTCCAATATTTGAGCACACACTAACACAAAAAATACAAACAAAAATATCAGTTCCCAAATGTATTGAATTTTTTAACTGGATATAGTTAAGTTAAAATTTCACAGCAATCCATTATATAGGGGGCAGGGATAGCTCTAGGGATAGGGTTACAAACAGTATTTACAGTAACAGAAGTTCCCTGCTTTTACCTTCGGGCTGAATCAAAGTTGCTCTTCACAAAGTCATTAAAAGGCCTCATGTGTTCTTCTTTTGTAAATAAGACGTGGTTTGCAATACTCTGCAAAATCTGAAATAAAAAATACAAGAGATTCACAATAAGCTCATGTTATGTGAGTTGTGTGATCTTGCTCGAGTTCAAAGAGAATGGTTACCCTCAGGTTTAATCCTGATATCAAATACAGGTTACTGGGATTTGAACAGACACTTATATCAGGTACACTATGTCAAAAGATTTCTCTTTAATGCAGTACAGTGTTTCACTATCTTTGTGCTCAGTCTCACAATAAAAACTTACCTCCTGCTAAAATTATTACTGTCACTCTATACCCAGACTGTAGGAGCTTCTTTTTAAACCAGACGTGATCACAAGGTTTAAGATAGTCAGTGACATTTTAAACTTTATTAGACTCATGTGTCTATGATGCCTACTCATTGATGGCATTTTGCCAAAAAAAATTAGGTTAAGGACACTTTATTTGTACCTGTGGATACAAATAAAGGGGGTAAAAATACATTTCTTTTGATCTCTTCTTGTAGTGAGTACGTCACTTATCCTCATGTGGATTTTCAAAAAACAAACAAACAAAAAAACCCAGAAAAAAAAAAAAAAAAATCACAGAATAAGTATAAAGTTTGGCTATTGGAGCCAAACTGTTTTAAAGGTTTGTTTTTCTGCTCCATTGGACTAGAAGCCTTCATTCAGAAGGAAGAAACTGAAAGTTGTTAAGCACAGGATGTAAAGTGTCAAACAAAATCGAACCAGCCAATGGGTATAATTCTCTGGCATACAGAGATGCTGGGTTCAGCTGTTGCTAGGGATGGGAATTGTGAACCGGTTCTTGTAGAATCTAATATCTTTAATATGCTGCTTAGGGATGGTGTTGACTCTCAAACAACCCATTGGGAAAATAATGAGAATTGAAATTGAAAGGAATCGAATTAATTAAGTATTGATAATGGAATCTGAATCGCTAAATTCTTATTAATTCCCAGCCCTAGACTTAGGGATGCAACCATTTTTTTCTGGTTGCTTTCATGGCAGCCTTCATATCCAATAAGCTTACCTTGGACATGAGTTTGAGCCCCCGCTCTATCCTGGGCAGAGGCTTCTTGTCTAAAATACCAGTCTCATAGGGGGACACAATAGCAGGGTTGATGAAGCGCAGAAACATAGCACTGCCCACCGCACCAATGCTGTTCTGTGGGAACCGCTGACTCACAACCTGTGTGAGGGAGTATGGAGAGAGTGGAGGGAAAAAAAATGTTGGCGAACACAAACGGAAAATACAGAACAGAAGGGAAAAGTATAAGAAGAGGGACCAGTTTGAAAAAAAGGGAAGGAGAAAATATTAAAAGTTGATTTTGGTACATTCAAGAGCAAATGAGGGAATGATAATAATAACAAAATATACATGTATCAATATGTGTAACAGAGATATTTGAGCTGAGTCATGATCAGGCCAAAAAATGCTGCGCTCAGGAGGAGAGCGAAGCTAGGAAGAAATATGACGAAAGACTTGGACATGATTCCAGTTTATTCTGGTTGTACCAGGAGTGAAAAAGGTTTTTACTCCAGTTACAGCAGAAGAAACATGCAAGAGAGGAAAAACATGACAATCAACCCAGCTGTCTCCTCTCTGTTGGTGAAAGATGAAAACAGGAAATGATTACACAAACTGACAGATGACAGATGTTGAGCCATGAATTGTGATTAAAGTATAAGATGGTGGTGCCTCTTTTAATTCAATTACTAGAAGAAGAAATGAAAAAATACAAACTTCCTACAACATCAGGCTATAACCCCATATCATCAACACAAACGTCAAAATCATCAGTAAGGCTTTACAATTATGAATAGAGACAAACTAAGTTACTAAAAGAATGATGGTAACCTATAACTTTATTATGTTATTTATTTTACATCTCATTCCAACCACCCATCAGCAGTTGTTTTATTACATGCAGAAAACGCATACGATAAAGTTAACTGGCATTTTTGAAATTCTCACTATTAAAGAAAACAGTCTTTGGTGAATAATTTATTCACTGGGTGAAAGTTTTATACACATCACAATGGCCACAATCACAAGACAAGGATACCCACTCTCCCTGTCACCATTTGTCATATTTATTGAACATCATTGGAATCCAATCCCAAAATAAGCCAATATGCATATAATTTATTACTTTTGGAAGAGATAGATGACACTGATGACAACACATGAAAACTCGCTAACCTGCTATGAGCAACAGAGGGCAAGGATTAGTGAGTGTCAGAGCCACAATCCGGGAGGAAACACAGACCACACATTAACACATTTCACACTTCGATGCACTGGTCCAGGAATGCCTCAGGTAGATTAAGACAGGTGGTGAAGAGGAACAGCACATGAACTATTATTAAAGACCAAGCCGCTGCACAAGATGTACCATCGAGAGATAGCGAAGCTGTTGACATTAAGAAATCCTAACACTGACTACAAGAGTCCAGCCTAAAGGATACCAGAAGCTCTTATCCCACCAGCACAAGAACAAAGCCTAAGCACTAGACCTCTAAAGGCAACAGTCTACCACAGCTGAAAGTTGTAAGCTATGCAAAAGTACCCTGGAGATGGAATACAAGTTGGAACAGCATTTACTTAGAGGCACAACCAGGTAGCTGGAACAGTTTCCAATAACATCTATGTATATCAGGAGTTGGGAATCGATGGGAAACATATCGTCAATTTTTTATGTTCTTGGACCTGATTGGTGACCAGTTGGTCAGTCGTGTATGACATGTATGTTGCGTGTTTAATGCATGTGCAACACATTCACACTGGCACAGACAAATAGTCAGATGCACACTCACAGCCACACACTAACATGATAATAGCATGTAAGCTTTTCACTATGAGTTAAGGTATAGTTAACCAAAGTAAACACTGAAGGAACCACCAAAAAAAAGGTTGTAACAACAAAGGTACACAGACAAAACTAAAGCTGTCCAGAGCTTAGAGCTAGCCACTAGCCAGCTGCCTCAGTAAGAGTAGTCACCAGATTCAGTTCCTGGGTAAGGTGTTCTGACTGGGCATGTCCTAATGGTGTGAGGCCCGGGCAGAGACCAAGGACATGCTGGAGATCTCTCTCTATGTCCCTTATATCTACTTACCTACCTGGTAGAGGACCCGAGCTTGAAGGATACACTTCCCGCGGACAATACATTCTACAACCATTACCGAGAGCAACCAGCTGATCTACACTACAGCAGCAGTGATCAGTGAGATGAACAGCCACAAGAAGCAGTACCCTCCACTGAGAGAAGGAGACTAGAGGCCAAGATCAAGGTAGTAGGGAGGAAGGTTAGCCAACTATTGGAGCTGCAGAAAGGTGCAATGAAGAAGATGCCTAAGAAGTAGGGCTGGGCGATATGACCCAAAATTCATATCTCGATATTTTTTACCTGGACGGCGATATAAGATATATATCTCGATTTTTTTTTTTAAAGCCATAAAGTAAGAACAAAAAGAGAGTTCTTAGTCAAAGCTGTGTCCCAGATGTCACACAGGCACTTTTATTAACATAGAGCATAGATGTACATAAAATTTACTCAAATTATGAGCATTTATTAAATAATAATGCTCCATAAATAAAAGAAAACAATGTTGTTTTTGTGCATAACAAAGAGCTCACAATTGTGCAGTCAAAATGTAAACTAAAAGACGCTGAGCATTGTAACAAAGGCAGATTTCACAGCTGCTCTGTTCCCAAGTTCGTGACTGACAGCCTGGAGTTTGAAATCTGCTTCATAACCGTGTCTCTTAACAGGTGCTATTTATGGTCCTTATACACAATATGGTAATATTACGTTGAAGCACAGTACGTATCACTTCGCGAGGCTCCTCGGTAGCCGTAATGCTCTGACAATCCATCAAGCGGTGCAGCTCCGTAGCTTAC